CCCGGCCCCCACCTAGAGCCATTTTGTGGCCTCACAGCCTCGAGGCCAGCAGACCCCACGTCAGCGCAGCGCGGAGGGGCCGGCCCGGCCCGGTCTGGCCCCGCGGGGCGCGTCCGGGCCAGGAGCCTCTCTGGGGTGCTGCGGCGACCCAGGGCCTGGGCCAGGCTTTGTGCTAACCCCAGGGGCTGCTCCCCGGCTGTGCCCCGGGGCTGGGCCTGTTGCTGCTCCCGCGCCTGCCCGACGCTGCTCAGTAATGGCTTCTCAAGGCCTGTGGCCAGGACGGGGTCCCGGCAGAGCAGGGGGGCCTGGCCCATGTGTGACAGGTCGGGTGCCGGCCGTGACAGCGCGGGGACCCGGGGCCAGGTCCTGTGGCCCCTGAGGAGTCTGTCAGGCGGGTGAGGCGGCGTTTCCCAAGCGCCCCGACAGCGAGGGGTGCCTGACCAGGAGGGACCCTCCAGGCCTCTGGCCCTGCAGGTTTCCCCCTGGTGCCCACTGGCTCATGAGAGCAGGAGGCAAATTGGAAGAGCCCTGGGTGCGGCCGTGCCCGGGCTTCGATGCGTCTCAGCTGCTGGCCCGGGCCGGGCTGACGCGTCCATGCGTCTCAGCTGCCGGCCGGGCCGGGCCTTGGGGAGGCGCATAGGCCGCGGACCTGGTCACTTCTGCACATTCCTCCTCCGCCCTAGGGCTCCCTGTATGTGGGATCTGTGGGAAGGCTGCGGGCGTGGCTGGCACGCCCCTAACAGTGCCCCTGGTCCCTGCTGCGCCCCAGACACGGCTGCCCCCCCACCTTCCCTCTGCCATCCACGGCCCTTCTGCGCCCATGCGAACCGCAGGCGGAGACCTGAGTGGGGCTCGCCCTGAGGAAGTGGATCTCCCTGGGAGCATGTTGATCCACAGCGCGGGGTGGGAGTCCGGCCCCCACGCTACTGAGGGGCAGCGGGCGGCCGCACTGGTGCTGCGGCGCATTTGGCGGCGGCCACCTCCACGCGTGACCAGCACTAAATAAAGCCAGATCCCTGCACACCGAGCTCCGTCTTGCTTTCCCTCCCGCCGCCCGTCCGAAGGGCAGGGCCCTGCCAACTCCCGAGCCCGGACTGAGTTCTGGGTGATCTGCACGGGAGCACCGGGCAGCCTCGGGGTCCACGGCCCCAGCCCCTCCTGGAAACCTGACCCTGGGGCCGCAGGGTCTTGCCTGCCCCCGAGGCCAACATCCTGGTCTCAGCATCCTGCGGTGGCCTGGCGGGTCCTGGTGTGGACTGCGGCCAGCTCCGTGTGTGGCCAGGGGCGCAGCCCGCTCCCGTGAGGCACATGGGTGCCTAGGGTGTTGTGTTCCTGCCCGTGTCTCGCCGGGCCCGGGGCCCGTGTGAATGCAGGACTGACTGGCCCCCAGGCCCGGCCTGTGCTCTTCCGCTCCAGGTTCTGTGGCCTGTGTGGGGTAAGGTGGCGGGGTTACACGCCTCAGGCCCTGGAGGCGGGCCACACTGGCTTCCTGCCCCCCTTCACTCATGGGGTCACTCCGTGGACACGCCAGGATGTCCTGAGGGCATGGGGGAGCCAGGCCGGCAGACCCTGGGAGCCTGCTTGGGCGTGGCCGGTGCCTGTGGGGCCCGCTGGCCTGGGGGTAGAGTCAGCCCCAGGAAAGTGCCTTTGGGGCCCCTGGGGTGAAGTGGGAGCGTTGGTGTTGGGGGACATGGCACAGAGCCAGGAAGAGTCCCTTGGGTCCACTGCACACGGGCTAGGTCTCCACCTCGCGGCAACATCAGGGCTCCTGACGCACCCCAGCTGCGCTGCCCCTCGCCAGGGTCCCACTGAGTCTTAGACCCCACTTACTGGGAGCCTCGAAAGGAACCCCCGCTTCAGCTTCTCTGGGGCTTGGAGAGAGCTCGTGCTCAGAGGAGGGGCGGGTCAAGGGGGTGCGGCTGCTCAGCATAGGGAGGCGGCCCGTGGGGGTGAGCCCAGACCAGCTGGCAGGCCGGGTGGTGATGGAGGCGCAGAGGGGTGCCCTGGGGCTGTGGCCGGTCCACCTGTCTGCGCACCGCCTCCCTGCCTCCGTCTGGCCCCAGGGCCCAACTGTCTCCCCCACGGGCACTTGCTCGGCCTCCTGCTCCCTTCACTCCTGTGGACCCGCCCGCCCGGCGCATCACCCCGATGTCCCCCCGCCCCCCACTTCACTGTGGGCGGCCCTCACGCCTCCCCAAGCCTGCACACCGCGCCCCACGCGGACGGGCGCCCAGCGCAGAGGCCCTCTGGATGCTTCGGACACGTCCCTGCAGGGGTCTTTAAGCCAAGAAATCCCGCCAGCCTTTGCTCAGTTATACATTTTATTCTCTAGTAGGTACAATACTAAAATAAACACAAATAAAAAAAAGTTTTATTAAAACAAAACTGTACAAAAAAGCAGTATACTACATTTTAATTACAGAACAGTCTACTGTCCAAAAGGCACTAATCCAGGATAGGAGATACAATGATACCGGACTCATCGGACTATCTGAATCAACACGGGGAGCCTCGTTTCTGTGGCCAGGACATCTGGAAACGGGGCGTCTGCTACAGTCGTCGCAGCGTCAGAGTGAGTCCAGGGCGAAGGTGCAGTATCGCTCTCCCGCAGCCCGCGGCCGCCTGGCCCTGGCTCTCGGCCACCACCCGCGGCCCCTCACCCCCCACGTGTTAGCACCGGGAAGTGGGTTCCGAGACGCTCCGGCTCACTGGCGGGGAGCACCTGGTAGCCAGGCCCGGCTGCCCCCCCAGACCGGCTCGGAAGCTGACTGGGGTGCGCTTCCCAGGGGCTGGAGCTGGCCTCTGCCCTGCCCCAGGCCCAGGTCCGGCGGCCGGACAGCTCCAGAGCTTCCTTCTCAATGGTTCCGGCCTCAGGAAGAGAGATACTGCAGCTTCCCAACAGTGTCACACACAGAAGACAGACAGGCATCTGATGTTAACAAAAATAAGTAACAGAAATAGGATTAAATCAAATCTCTTCTCACAGCTTCCTATACTACATCCTCCTTCTGCTTAGCAGAAAATTGTACGTACACAAAAATACAAATACACAATTTGTAGAACAGTCTGATTTTAATATATTTATATATATTTATATTTATACGAGTGGCAGGTTAGTTCATTATATAGAGCTTTTCGCACTTTTGGCTCATATGCAACAAGGCTTATAAATTCAGCTTTAGCTTTCATTCAGGTTTTATAGCTTTTGAACAATTGTTTTCACATTTAAAGCAGCATCCAATTTGCACTAGGAGTGGTGGTGATTCTGGGAAGGGGTGGTGGGAGGTTTCCGCGGGAGGCGCCGGGCGGATACATTCCAGTGTGTGGCGATACCAGAGGGTGGCTAAGGGGCAGCGGTGACCGTGAAGACCCTTGAGGTAGACTGAACACCTCACGGCAGGCTCGGACACGGTGCGACTCCCCTCCCCTCGGGGACACGGTGCGGGTGGGGGCGAGACGCCAGAGGGCCACTAAGACACGGGACGGCC